ATAATAAGGAAAAAAAAGAAAAGGTGAGAAAATATAAAAATTTGATAGTTATAAGTTACTAAAAAATGCCAAGTGAATGATGTAAAATTTAGCACTACGGCTTGACATCAAATTCTCCATCTAATTTTGGTTTTTTAGCTCCTTTTTGAGCCTGAAATAATTCAATAATTATTAACTATTAAAACTTTAATAAAATATAATTTTATTTTCTAAATTAAATTTTATTGAGAATACCTTTGCTTCTTTTTCCTCACTTCTGACTCTACTACACTTAACGTTTATCGCACGGTTTACTTCACTCTTATTGTACCTTCGCTTAAAAAGTTTTTCCACAGCATCTAAAAATGAATATTTACATGAAAATTTATAGAATGTGAATTTATAAAAACTTATTCTTTATGAATATAATCTTAAAAATTGCAATTTGAATTACTTAAATTAATTAATACTTACAAAATATTGAAAAACTTTTAAATAAAATAGAAATTTACCATGTATTGCCGTTAGTTTGTCAGAATCAAGACCGCTATGCTGGATAGTAGAATTCTTTGTCTTAGATTTTTCACCTCTCAAGTTGCTGTTAGCAATAACACTTCAAGGGAAAACCGACATCAAAAGAGAAGTAGCCATGGCGGTCGCAGATTGGGCTCTTTTAGCTACATTAAATTGTGCTTCAGGTATAAATACCCCAAATTCTGGAAGTCCCAATTCTTTCTACAAAGAACAAAAATTATTAAGATTCATATTTTGTTTTAATATATTAAAACTCGTTCAGTAGATAACTGAAATACTAACAAGGAAATGTTCCCAGGTTTCCGCCTCTGATTTCAATGCCGCTAAAATATGTTATTCTACATCGAAATCTAAGAGACACATATTTTTTTTATCGGCGGAAAAACATTTTTAGGGGGTGAAATCAACCCCCAAAGTTAACCCCCTTCGAGGGTCAATTGCGGGTTTCAAATACTTGCTGTCAATATTTTCGCAAACGACTAAGTGGGCCATAATCTACATGGAAAATGATGAAAAAAGTGTATAAATGGATTTTAGAAAATTAATATCAAATAGTTTTTATAATCGATAAAAATGACAAAAGTTTTATAAAAAAAAAACTACTCATTATTTCTCAACGGAACCAACGGCAATCGAAAGAGCTCTAAAAAATAGGAAATATGTGATTTTTCATTAATTATGGAAAATTAAAATTCAAAATTTAAATCATCCTTTATTAATAATACTTTATCACACTTATCAGTAGTAAAAATTTTTTTCTTCTTTTCATTATGGATTCTTTTCCATGAAAACAATGCACACAACTATAGCTTGCCAAATTACACGTTCTTTTCTCTCGATCTAACATAATATTTATCTCGAAGAATCTAAACAAAGTCATCAGATTATTTACTCATATAAGGTAATAAGAAAACTAATTTATTTTATGAGTTATAAATGTAAGTATCAACGTCTATGATTTGTTAATCTAAAAGTGGTAATCTTACATTTAAGGTTAACACTGTTGTATCTCAAAATAAACTCCGAAAAATATATAAATAAAGTCAAACAAGTGATAACCATAATATTAAGAAACTTAGTCAATCTCAATTCTATTTAAACAAATTAGTCAACAATAATCAGTTATAAAATTACAATAATTACATACAAGACAGACAGCGAGAGACTGAGCGTAAACAACTGTAACGGTAAAAACAGTTGTACTTCTCAAATCTACTATGCCGACTCCCAATTTTGAAATTATTATGATTAAAAAAATATTAATTAATACAAAACTATACGTCTTATGAATAAATAACAATTACCTTAATGTAATCCCTATAAAAAATTCTTGCTATTTTATTTTTTCAAAATCACCTTTCAAAGAAAAAATTTCAAAGATAAAATTTTTTTCCACAAAGTCTTTTTAAAAAAATAATTTTCACAAAAAATTTTTCAAAGAAAACCCCTATGAAAAAACCTCTTAAGAAAAGTGAAATTTAATAAAAAAACATTAGCAGATGATCTCAACAATGAAGATCTCACTGAAATGAAACATACTTTAAGAACAAGAAGAGTTAATTGTTTTTATTTAATTTTTTTTTTTTTTATTAGATCTTTCGCGCTTCAGCCTATTGGCCTGGAAGCGGGGGACTACGTCCCATCCTATTTTCCTAATCATCCCCACTTCAGTGGTCCTCTCGTCTCCTACTGGTTTGTATTTACGGCTGCGGCCCGACTTGTGCTTTCTGTACCGTATTCACCCTGAACCTTACCTTCTCAGGCTTGGAACAGAATCATGGGGAAACCACAGAGAAAACCCATGATAGTACAGTCGGAGCTGGGCTAAGTTTACAGTGATTGATAAAGTACTCTTCTTTATCGACCACTGGAGCATTAGGTCCTTCTCCTAGTGTACAGAGATCCCTCGGACTAGCCAACGCTGACTAGAGTGGTCACTCAGTTAAGTTGTAGCTTAACTGAGCGATCGTTCAAGTCAGACGTGTGCCGTCCGGCTATCTCTGCCACTTGCAGAGGCAGGCAATGTAACGTACATATTTAACTGAAAAATAGTGGTGCGTGCCGGAATCGAACCCGGGTCTCACTCTTTCGAAAAGTGACCACCGAGCCGACTAGGCTATTGCCTGCCCTTTTGCAAGAGGAGTTAATATAATTACTAATTATTTGAGGTTTCAGCACAGAATTAGAGAGTAAACAAGTACTTAGTAGTAAAGACATTAAGATTACCAAAGAATTTTTCACTGATCATGATGATTTGCTAGTAACCAGATCTGATAAGGGCAACTCTACAGTAGTGATGTGAAAACGTGAGTATCTAGAGGAAATAAACAAGTTGGTCGCTGATCCAGAAACTTATACCATAAGCCGAGTGGATCCTACATCTAGACTACAAACAGCAGCGAATGCGATGGTTAAACAACTGCAAGAGAAAGAGATAATTGATCAGATCACGGGAAAGCATATGCGTACGTGTTGCGTAAATACCACATGTTCGCGCCAGAACATGTGGTAAGTTCGCAATCAATTTCATCAGAGGTGCGGCGACTGACGCGCACTCTGCAAGTCAACTTTCCGAAGTCAACAGCTGCTTGCGCGTCAACCGCCATAACTAATCTATACGTTGCGATC